ACGCAAAACGCTCCTTAATGCATTCAGATGTTGCGGTTTGAAAATTAGCCGTCAGTAACTGTGCAAGGTGGCATGCAAATTATGATGTACTTTTGGCATACTATAATCACCATTTTTAGAAAATGTTTCCACCTCGATGGAAAAGGACAAACGCGTCGTAAAGCCATCACCATACAGAGGTACTAAGGCATTTTTTGTGGAGGTTTTTGAGTGTACATAAATGCAGAAATTTTGTCTTATAGAATCGAACGTGACGATTACTTTTGTCAGCCCCGATGTGTTTCAGAACCTCCAACCAAGAGAGTCATCAGAGCCTGAAGAAGGTAAGTGCAAAATATTTTATTTGTTCAGCTGTTGCGCGCTACTGTTAATATTTTATTGCAGAACACCGCAGAGGAATAAACAGGGGCAGAGTCGTTCTAAAAGAGCGAATGTCCAACGCTTCGGACAATGATGACATGGCCAATAAATCTGGTAGTTTTGCCTCAAACGAGACTCATATGCTGGTCCCTATAGGAAGTGGTCAGTTGGCGGTGCCAGGGCATCCGTCATCGTTGGAGCGCATCAAGAACGGAGCGTCATTTTCGCGAGAAGAAGAACTAATTGACATGACGCATCGTGAAGATTCACGAAAGGAACCCGCTTCCGAGGTTGCCTCAAGCACCGGTAACAAAGGAGGATTTTCAGACGAATACCTAGAGTTTTCCGGAGACATTCTGATGGAGATGGAGAACAACACGCATGAAGGCAGCATTGATGGGAGAGTTCAGACGGTATCCCTCGATTCTGAGTCGACCACCTCTAAAACACCTGAATTAGTAGCGTCAACCACTTACAGTACGAGTAGCACACAGTCGGCTAATCAGAGTCAAATTCAAACCTCACAGTCATCGTCTGTAGAAAAGGTTGGCTCGAAACAAGTGCAGAAAAATGGCCCAGACAAAAATGGTACAGGTAGGAACACTGACTCCGGGTCAGCTCATAGTCCCAGTGATGCTGGTTCAAGCGAATCCATTGGGTCTGTGTCACAACCGACCGTCGGTAAGGAATGCAGTGACGTCGACAGCGCCTGTGAATACTGGGCTTCGATTGGGGAATGCGAAAAGAACCGCTTCTGGATGAAGACCAATTGCCAGAAGTCGTGCAACTCCTGCGGTCTGTCGCTGGCCGACGTTGAGCCCATTCGGCAGAGGGATGGTAAGAAAATAAGCACTGAGAACACACAATACCTCGTTTGAACGC